GAAAGAGTGAGAGGGTGGACTCAGGTGATGTGTTTGAACGCATTTCAGAGGATAAAGCATAGTTCAAATACAGCTAAGCTAACTACTGTTACTAAACAGAAGTCAACCAGGTTGTATATTAGATTTCTCAAAACAGAAAAACATCTCCAGTTCTTAAATCTTAGCACTTTGCTTTCCTTGACTCCTTTTACAGTAGTGGCCAGGTTGTTGATAGAGGAACATGAATTCTTAGTCAGCTCTTGGTTATAAAATTCCTTTTAGAAAATGATGTTCATGTCTGAGTTGTCGGGGGCCAGTTGAGGAGCATTTGGGACGTTATGTACACAGATTTTCCTCAGGCTGCTATCCTGTGATTCCTGTCACTTAGCCTGTCTAGTCAGATTGGTCACGGGCAGTTTGTGAGTGTCTGAGGAGAGTCACTCTCTTTACTTCCTTGTTTTATATACAGATGGTTCCCACAGAACTGGTTGAGAAAGAATTTTGGCGACTGGTGAGCACTATTGAAGAGGATGTTACCGTGGAATATGGAGCCGATATCGCCTCGAAGGAGTTCGGCAGTGGCTTCCCGGTCCGAGACGGGAAAGTGAAGCTCTCTCCTGAGGAGGAGGTAGGCGTGGCTGTGAGCATGTGGACTTGTGGGGGCGCCGGCGGGACGGGCGGGGGGCACCTTTAGAGCGAGCCCACCGTTGATCCAGAGGTCATCACGCTGGGCTAGTAGCAGCTGTGCTACAACACGTATGTCACTTGGAACTTGAGATAGTCATGGAAATTGATTGGTTGGCTTGAATTAATTTATGATACTTTCAGCAAATCCTTAATTACCAGATTTTTAATGATTTCAAGAATAGTAGAAAGAACCCATAGAAGAATTCTAGTCCCAGCTAGATGATAAGGGAGAATCACTTACCTCCCTTTGACTTCAGATTCTGTAACTTTGGTTTCTCGTTCTGGAGAAAATCTGAGGGATTGGAACCAGATACACACACATAATATAACACACACACAGACACACACACACACAAGTCCATTTATATAAAGCGCAGAGCTGGGCAGAAGTAATCTATGGGCATCCAGGAGGTAAGCATAGTTGCCCCCCCCCGCGCCATTCTTTTTCTTTTGAAGGAGACTTTTCAGCCAGCTTTTTGAAACCAGCAGAGTTCCAAAATGTTAGCATGATAGAGAATTAAAGTATAAACCTTTATTTATACTTTATTTATAATGTCAAGATATTCTCCTTATTTTTAGGAATATCTTGACAGTGGCTGGAATTTGAACAACATGCCAGTGATGGAGCAGTCTGTCCTCGCTCACATCACTGCTGACATATGCGGCATGAAGCTTCCTTGGTTGTACGTGGGAATGTGCTTTTCTTCCTTCTGTTGGCATATTGAAGACCACTGGAGCTATTCCATTAACTACCTGCACTGGTAAGGGGTTCCAGAGAACCTACAGATGGTATGCACGCTGAATTGGAAAACTTACCCGCCTCTTAGTTGTGACACATATCTTAACTGAGTGTGAAGAGTGATGAGGGTTTTTTTCCATAGGTTTTTTTTCTTTATTTTATTACTGTTGGGCAGGTATCCTAACAATTTAAGACAAAGGTTCTTAAGAATCCATAGGAAATCCATGAAACCCTGCACTTGCACATGAGTTTTCAAGTATAACAGGCTTCTGGGGAGAAGACAGACAGCTTTTCGCTAATTGTCAAAGAAGTTTTTACTCGCAGAAAGGTTAGAAAGCACCAACCGAGTTGCTTTTACTGTGGAAACCCTTTCCTGTTCTGTGGGCCTGGCGGCCCAGATAGCCCTTTGGGCGAGGAGTGGGGCATGGGTCATGTGGGTCCTCCAGGACCTCGGGACTGACCGCTCCCGACGGCCTGCTGAGTTCTAGCATCACTGTGCACTGTAGGTAGAGTGCGCCCCATCTGCGCGCGCGCGCGCGTGCGCGTGTGTGTGTGTGTGTGTGTGTGTGTGTGTGTGGTGGGCTGGGGCGGATATTTGGGCTTTTTAACTTTTATTTCACATCTGTTTCCCTCCCCTCCATTTCCCTTGCTTTCTGAGTACAAAAATATTTGAAGATCTGTAACTCACTTAAATTCCCACACAAGGAATTTGAGGATGTACCACAAGAAAGAGGGAGCTGGCCTTTTACGTGCGGAGTGTCAGTCCTGCTTCCCCAGGCAATTGCTCCCAGCTGTGAAATGATGTTTACCATACCTCACAGGGATGTTACAGATTAATTGGTTGACAGTTAAACGTGCTTTGAAGAGGAGCTCTATAGAAATGCTAATCGCTTACTTAGAGTTTGGTTTTAACTCGCTGTCAGGGCGGAGAGTTGCCATCCCTTGCTAGTTGCTGTAGGAAATTGTGGTGACCGCATACCCTGTAGCTAACATAATACCTTATATTCTTAGAAATGCTAGATATCTACATTTTCTGAAGGGTCAAGGGTCAGGTAAAATGGGAGGGAAGAGAGGGACCTCAGATGGAAAGTCTCATGTTTAAACTTTATCCTTGAAGAGGGGAAATGCATTACATATGTTCAGATCATATTTCTGGTGATATTTCTTCAGTTTGAACATTGCCTTACAAAGCAGGATCTCAAAAATAGGAACTGGCTATAACCATCTTGTTTGCACTGGTGTTTGCTGGTGGATTTTGTGTGTGAGCTGAAAAGCTGCTGAAATTTCATGTAAATTTTGAGATTGATCTGCTTTTACAAAATCTGTTTTAGGGGTGAGCCAAAGACCTGGTATGGAGTCCCAGGGTACGCCGCCGAGCAGCTGGAGACCGTGATGAAAAGGCTGGCCCCGGAGCTCTTCATCTCCCAGCCCGACCTCCTCCACCAGCTTGTCACCATCATGAACCCCAATACCCTGATGACTCACGAAGTGCCTGTATGTTTGGGGTCAATCCTCCTGCCACCCAGGCTTAACTCCCCACTTCTCTTTTTCCCTGTTGCTCACGTTTTTATGAAGCTGATTTGGTTTTGTAGAAACAGCTGTTTGGTGTCATTTAGTACAGTATTGCATTAAGCCAGTGGGACTGGATCCTCAGACACCATAAAAAGCTGATTTGTTGAAGCTGATGACTAGATTGCTGAGCAGCCTTACTTTGCAATAGTAACTGTGAGGCTGTCTCTTCCTTTCCTTTCTGGTGTTCAGTTCAGAGTACATTCACAGGTTGTACACCATCACCATTCCTGC